TTATGCTTGGTATGTGTGAAGTATGTCTGTGTTAAGAATGATTTAAACACACTATTTGAAAGAAAATTTAATAAATATGTGAGACAGTTAACATATTTAATATTTTACTTATAAATTCATTAATCTTATATCGTATTCTGGCTAGATAAAATACCCTGAGTAGAAATAAATTATATCCTATGATTTTTTCCCCCAGGCATCAATAGACCAATTAAAAACAAACAAACAAACAAACAAACAAACAAACAAACAAACAAATCTCTCTATGTTTGTTAGTTATAAGTAGTTAGTCTTAGCCTTTAAATTTTCTCACTCTGCATGGAAGCAATGCAGGGATTTCACAGAAGTAGGTAGCAGTTGGGCAGAAGCATTAAAGATTAGTGTGCAGCAATTTAATTTTAATTAATTTTATTTTAATTAATATACATACCATAATATGATCAATTTGCTATAACTATAATGTTAATATTCCTGGAGCTGAGGGCCTTTAAAGGCAAAATCTAGAAAAAACTTATATTTCTAATATCCTATTGGGGTGAGAAAACCAAAACAAGTGACAAGTCCAAGGGTAGGTTTTATGCCTTCTGTCTCTTAACTTCCTGAGTCAAAATTGGCATATCCCATCAAAACAGAGTAATTGTTACAATGATGTATGAAATTTCACTTCCTGATCCAGATAGAGTCCGCTGTGTGAATGCCTTCTTATTGTGTATTTACTCTGTTCTTTTCCCATCAGTCATGACTTGTTGATTTGTGTACAAGATTCTCTCAACCACCGAGGCATCAACGTGGTACAAGATATTAAAAATGTTCAACCTTTCTTTTTCTCCCACTATTCCTTTTTATTTGTCTCATTTATCTTGAGAGTCTGTACCCCAGACATCGGAGTTTCCCTGGATTCAGAGCTTCCTCTGACTTCAAAGAGCCCTGGGTAGTTAGATCAGGTTTGAGGCACATGAAGGGAGAAGAAAAAAAAAAAAAAGTTCTGTTACCTAGTAGAATGCTACATTATGCTCCAAGGAAGGAACTAAACATTCACCATCTAAATGGAGAATCCGGCCCTTGTTTGGCAGAAAGGACATCCTAGTCAGATAGAATGCCCATAGTACATTTGCCCGTCGAGAATACCTAGTTCCCTAAGCTGTAAGATAACAATACCTCAGGATGTTGTACCATCCAAGAATTAAATTAAAGACATAAGGATTAGAGTTTTTTCCCTTCAAAAATCAATAGAACGTTTTGTTTACAGAACATCTTATCAAGTTGAATTCAGAGAAATCCAGAAATTTGTGTTTATTGCCGATAGCTCTGACAGAACAAGGAAGTATGGTACAATAGAAGTGATAAAAGGTGTTTCTTGAAAAGAGCATCTCAGCGGCAGTTAATTTAGAGTTATCCATAGCTAGCTACACAACGAAAATAATTGTATATTCCTTGAAATTNATTTGTGTTGAGGGATGATCATGCTTTTATAATGCTTTCTTTGTTGTTGCAGGAAAGGAGATTACGGCAGAAACGTTTATGGAGAAATTGGATAATGGTGCCTTGCTCTGTCAACTTGCAGAGACTGTTCAGGAGAAATTCAAAGAGAGCATGGATGCTAATAAGCCCACAAAGGTAAAAGGTCCCAAGGCAAAATGACTATTAGGAGGTGGATTACATTTGTAGTTGCTTATGCATTGAGTTTAATTCGAGGATTTTGTTGAGAATGGATGCATTAAAGCCTCTACTAACAACAAAACAGAGTGCTTTTTAATTAGGTAACATGTTATTGTTCTCTAATTACATAAATTATATAATCCTTTTGGTAAGTCTAATTAAATAAAAGCTTATAGAAATTGATGGTATTAATGCAAAGCAAGCACTGTGTGTAAACTGCCGGAATCTGATGTACTGATGAAAAATAAAAATTTAGCAGAGAAGTACTTATGTCATCAGGCAGTGAACACAAACTAGCCAAGAAGGACCTACTGAATAGGTCTTTGTTTTCAACTAGATCATTATGGCAGAACACTGGAACAAAATATCTGAAGTGCATAGTTTTTTGTTTTAAATAAGTAGTATCATTGAATTAAGAAACTTTGGACAAATAATTTTCTTTCTGACAGCTCAGATTTCTTTTTTGCACATTAGTTCTGATACTTTTTCTGGTATTATAAACACATAATAAAAGTGTGATGATGTTTGATGTATTTTAAAGGAAAGAAGATAAATGATACTTCTAAAAAATTTTAATAGAGAAGGAAAAGAGGTA